TTTTTTTTGGGGGGGGGGGGGGCAGCAACAAAGTTTACTACATAAAGATTTATATGAAAACCTGTTCTTTCTGTTGGTGAAATGACATCAAGTAATGTTGCTCCTTTTATGCAATCTCTCTTTGGAGTCTACTCCATCTACGTAAATCTCTAACTTCTGCAGCTGCATTGTCTCCATTTCTAATGAATTTACTAAAACAATATATATAAATATATAATACATGTAGGCGGAAGCACTCAAGGTGCGGTTAATGGTCAATAAAGTGAGTGAAAACCACGAACGACCAACATTTAAGTCCCTTCGGAGACAAAAAGAACGTTAGATGATTTCTTTCAATCCGCCTAAGCCTTGGTAACATAGAGCTACCCGATACCTATGCTGGTTGCAGGTAGCAAGTATCCAAGCACGAATTTGACGTTTAACGAAAGCAGTACGATATTTGTTGTCCAGCTAAAATTCTACTTGGAATATAATGGTTTTTGCTAATATTTCTATTTCTGCATAGAAACAAGTGAACACTGCCCTGTTCAAGCTTTCAACATTTTTTATTTGGAAAATGTGGAAGTTACTAACGGAAGTACAAGGGTATTACCCTTTTGAAGGGGCTTTTCATGTTCTTTTTTCCTTTGGTGATTTTGACTGTAATGGCTGTCAAGAAAGTTGATGAGATGAGATTTCAAACTATGACTGATTTTTTTCCCCTAAAAATTAGACCTGCTATAAAATTTTGCTCAAAATTTTAAGTTTCATTCTCTGCAGACAATTCCTTCATTATAAATTGCATCCAAGATTGAGTCAATAATCAAGATTCAGCTAAGTATATTAGAAGGAAAAAAAAGGACCTCAATTAAGTAGCCTTCACCAGTCACAATTCACTACTACTCTTGTTTTACAAAGAAAACAAGAGATTTTATAAAAAATCTGAGGCTTTAAGACATGATTTCTCTACATCTCAAAAGAACTCAAAGGCCTTTCAACAAGTTTTCATTGAAAGATTGTCTAGAGGAAAGAGAATT